CAGCGGCCTGTCCTCCATGGTGGATCTGCAACTGACGCTCGGCTAAGGCTGCCGCTTCCGATTCACTTTCGATGCGCCTCGCGAATGCAGGGACGACCGACGACGTGGTGTATGTCTGTGCACGCGCGGTCCACCACGGACGGCGTGTGAAGGAGACGTCCTCGTGCATTGCACGTGCTTTAAGTCAGCCTCTTCTTGGGCTGTTGATTCGCCTTTTTCTTTTTGTGACGTATGTTTGATGTCGCCCTTTTCTGTTTGCTTTATGTAGTGCCGAATTAGCGCGTATACGAGTTAAAAAAAAAGGATTGCGTTTCGTTTAAATTTTCACGGGATTGTTTAGTATACTTAACGTTTAGTATAATTAAACATGATCACTGCGAGGACATGTCGATTAGAATTTATAATGAAAGTTGCGCGAAATGTCAAGTCTGTGTGAATTAATATGCAGTACGGTATCAAGCAGTATGTCGCCAAAGTTCCCAGGCTGCATTGCCGTTCATGGGATAGCTGCCTGAGAGTCCGCCACGGAGGTGTATAGGCTATACGGCGCTCGGCTGTTACTCACAGGTCACCCGCGGTTTCCACCACGGCCGCGGTAGTCGCGTTCCGGTGGAAGCGAAACGGTGGAGGCCTGTCGATGTCGATGACGATGTCGGTACACGTCAGAGATCAACGGATCTTCCGCAGCCCACCACTAAGGGCTCCCTCATATTCATATCGTGGTTTTGAGACATTTTTTTTATTTGGACACCTTAAAGGTCATTACATTGGGGAGGGGGGGTTATAAGGAATCAAATACAATCATATTTCAGGAATACGGCAACACCGAATACAGAATACAGCAAAAGGAAAACTAGAAATATAATGCAGAAACAATAACATTTCACAAATTTCGGAAATAAACAATAACATTTCACAAATGAACACAAAGATCAGTATAAAATAAAATTAAGTGATCTATTGAAAAGTGTTAACGCGCTCGAGAAACGAGTGCATGGAGCGCTAATTGAAAAGACTGATGATCATTGATAGTGGCAATTATAGCTAGATGGCAGTGAATATTATTGAACTATTGTTAGTGCAAAAGGTGAATTCCGGTATTTCTTTATAACCCCAGTTTGTATTATTTTTATATAGCCTGCGAAGTTGCGACCACTCTAGGAGCGAACGGGGGGGGGGGGGCAGGAGGGGGTGACCATCCTTTCTAGTCACCTAAGAGGAGGGTGCAAAGTGAGCCCCCTACATAATAGGGAAGGGGGCGCTGCTACAAACCTTCACCCCCTCAAACACACACACACACACACACACACACACACACACACACACACACACACACACACACACACACACACACACACACACACACACACACACACACACACACACACACACACACACACACACACACACACACACACACACACACACACACACACACACACACACACACACACACACACACACACACACACACACACACACACACACACACACACACCACACACACACACACACACACACGCACACACACAACACACACACACACACACACACACACACACACACACACACACACACACACACACACACACACACACACACACACAAAGCGAGAACACTTCACCCGAGGGACGTCCAAGTCGTTCATCATTTCGGAAATATTGAACTTACGCCGGACATTTAATTCGAGATGCTAAGACATGATGCATCGCGGTGAGGGGAGTGGGAATCACTGGTGTACCTTGGGTGCGGGCAAGTGCTCCCAGTAGACGCACACGGTGCTGACTTCCATCAGTTTTTTCATTGTGTGAACCATAGAGTTCATTGTGTGAACCATGATTGTAAGGAACTCTATGGTGTGAACAACACGCCGCCTATAAATAGACGGGAACACCACTTCCACTGTATCTCGTCACGGCACGACTAAGACGGATTACAAAAACTGCTTGCGTAGGTACTCTACTTCTTTGGGCAATAATTTGATTGACGGGGTGACGCAACAGCGCAGTTTTACGCGCTTCAACGATATCGCGTGTTTATCGCGTGTTAGCCGTTCTGTGTGTCCGGTGGTTCTTGAGGCGAAAGCCTTTTGGCTCATACGCCGTCCAACCGTCCGTCCGTCCGTGTCCTGGAACGGTGCCGGCTGTGGCCTCTACGCTTTACGCCCTCGGCAATCACGTGATGTCACAGTGGCGCATAACAAGTTGCACCGCCACGGCTGTGGGGTCTTCCCCTTACACTCTCAGAAATCACGGAATGCACAGCATCACGTGGCAAAACCCCCTCGTCACACACTCATGCAGCAGTTGCTCGAATGGCAACATGCCCCGCCGCGGTGGTCTAGTGGCTAAGGTACTCGGCTGCTGACCCGCAGGTCGCGGGTTCAAATCCCGGCTGCGGCGGCTGCATTTCCGATGGAGGCGGAAATGTTGTAGGCCTGTGTGCTCAGATTTGGGTGCACGTTAAAGAACCCCAGGTGGTCAAAATTTCTGGAGCCCTCCACTACGGCGTCTCTCATAATCATATGGTGGTTTTGGGACGTTAAACCCCACATATCAATCAATCAATCAATCAATCGAATGGCAACATGCAGGCTTTCACCGAACACACTTCAGAATTTACAAAGTGTTTGTTTACTTTTCAAGCTTTTTAAAATATTTTTTTAATCGTAAACTACATACAAGCTCATCTCTCCGCACTCAGTTCGAAAAGTGCCTCTTCTGCACACCCTGCCAACGCCCGTGGAAATGCCTCCATAAATTACCTCTCTCTATAACTTTTAAGATGCCCACACACACAAAAAAAAAAAAAGCACTCCAGCCAATGTCGCAATCGGATGTTCATTTTTAATGCGATAACGTCTAAGAGCTCGTTTCCGCATAAATTGCGGCTTCGGCGTCGTTTGTTAATTGTGAGCGAAAAATCATCATTTATGCGTGACCCTAAAATCGAGAACGACGCAAATAGAATAAATGGTAAAAAAAAAACCTGGGTCAGAGTGGGGACCAAACAAGGGTCGTTTGGGTCCGCGTAGGGATTGAACCATGTGTGGTTTGCGTGAAAAGCGGAACTTTTACTACACGGCCACGCGTCTGCCTGTAAATACAGCGGAAAGAACTTCCTCTGCTTGTAGATTCAGTGAAAGTAGCTCTGACTCGTTACAAACTCACGCGTCCTTTGTAATGCAACATGAAATATCGCTGTCCTATAGTGCGTAGTACAAGCGCCCATTGTCAGCGGACGTCGGAACATGCGATTACCATAATGGTTTCGTGGTTCAAAGCCGGTCACCCACTACAAAAGGCACACACTCTACTGTGCCTATTGCCTTAAGGCCAAGTAGTGCCTGCATAGCAATTTCGAAAATGTTTCATGCACTGTCACCATGCATATGCGCCCGTATTCACAAACTAATTTCATCCTCGAGTTTCCTTTGTCCATTTTAAACCTCTATTGTACTTGATGAACAAACTATTCATGGACCAATCAGGTTATCTCTTACCGTGTTACCATATCTGTGCTCTTATAACGCATGTTGAGAGTACAGTAAACTTGAGGATAACGTGAAGATCAAGGTTGGTTTGTGAATATATGTGCCTTAAATAAATTCGGCCCTCGAAAATCCAGGCTGTCAAATGGTTCGGATGGGATATCTCTGGTCCCGGACAGCATGTGCATTTTTAATTTCACCACACTCGTCAATTAGGTCATATTCAATCGCAACGCGGTTAATTCGGACCATTTCCGAAGTGCATCGAGTGCCAAGCGCCGCAAATGTTGTTACGCCGCCAAAGAGCGAGAACGACCGTCGCAGACAAACCGAACCAAGCGAGGCGGCGCTGTCCGCATCTGTATCTTCGTGAGTTAGTAGCCACGCTTTTGTCCTAGGCCCGTGTGCTCAGATTTGGGTGCACGTTAAAGAACCCCAGGTGGCCGAAATTTCCGGAACCCTCCACTACGGTGTCTCTCATAACCATATGGTGGCTTTGGGACGTTAAACCACACATATCGATCAATCACTTTTGTCCACATACGAGGTTGATGAGCTTCGTTTTAACTTGATGCCTGCAATACGCGCGCATGTCACCAAATTCAAATATGGCGTTGCCGTTGGTGGCGTCATTTCGCCAAATTGGCTACTTTTCCACCCCGCGCCGGGTAACGGAAATTTGAGGATGGCTCCATGGCTACTTTCTAACTTTGATTCTGACGTTGCACCAAATTAAGTAGCCAATTTCTTTTATTTCACGATAAAATACATTGTTCCAAAGTTTTTTTTTTTTGTTGTTGTTGTTGTGTCAGTCAATGCCCTCTCCCCCAGGGAGGGACGGGGAGGGGGTGGCGAGCCCCTATGTCTCCCCCCATAATCTCTGCATATGCCGCCTTTAACACCCTCTCTTCCACCGTTCCGTAAAATCCATGGAGGAAGGAATATGGTAAAATCAGTTGGATCTCCACCCTTGCTAGACGGCATAACATGTGGCCTCCTCTGTAGCCTGGGCACGCTTTAATTTTCAGTGATTGTCAGTGTGTATTTAGAAATACGTCTACGTGTGACACATTCGTGAGTGTGTAGTAATAATATATCTAGATTGCCATTACGCGAAAAGAACCGACAGCAAGCGGATAGCATAACAAAAGTTTCAAATTTTGCGCCTACGCATTTGACCAGCAATCGCGCAGAACAAGGGCGCCATCATGACCAATCATGACAACCATTGCAATAAACCTTTTCTTACTGCAAATAGTAAACTTGGTAGCATTTACACTACGTAGACGCTGTAAGTAATAAAAATATGCGGTTCAAAATGTTTTTTATTTATAATGAATATATAAACATTATTTTTCTTGGATCGAGAACGGGAACGAAAGTAAACAATCACTCTTATTGCGGGTAAAGATGTACATTTTATTCGTTACCGCTATGCAATCTACATAATTTTTTGTTTCGTGTGGTTATTAATTTATCAAAGCGGTTCGTTGTCTCGCCGAACACCGATTTCTTTGAAAGCTTCGGCAGCCAATGGAATTTTACATATGTCTTCAGTTCGGCGCAGCTTGAGTGTTTTCTTTTTGCCGGAGTTTCCAGCGCCGCGTTAAGAATGTTAAGCCGAATTCGCAACCGAGAAAACCTCAAGTGAGTTCCCGTGTGAAATTCAACGCTTCCTTCGTCGTGTACGGGGTGCATCCAGCTTTTCTTTCTGAAGTGTCGAAGTGCGCATGTCAACAGTACGCCATTTTTGATCTGTGTTGGGGTCGGAAGGGCGTCTATTGCGGTGAATAAACTGGACAAGAAGCCGTCCATTTCGGAAGAAAAACGACGCCAAGCAATTGTGAGTACCCTCTAAGCGTGTCTCAACCCAGATCGCGGTCCTCATTGGTTTAAAGTCTCCTTGCGGCGACTTTTGTGCGGTTCAATGCACTGCCTAGGCTTAAATGCACTTGGGCGGGCATCGGCTACATTTTCGTTTGCGAACTTGTGTAGACACGGCGTCGCACCGTGAGTTTTCTTGCGTTTCGAACTGTCCCTCCGACTGCACCGTTTCGTGAATGCCCGTCGGAAGAGATTCAAGGCGAATCGTCGGCCGTCGAAGACGTCTCGATCGAAAGTGGTCTGTCGAAATCTCGCCGATAATTTCGTTTTTTCGTCATGATTCATTCTCGACAACCGCCTGGCGTGTCAAATGCGCCTGTGTTAGGGGCGCCGGCGTTGTGGACTGTCAAACGAAAGCGTAAAAGCGTGTTTCAAATGACTTTCGATCGTGCTGTGCCCCGTTTGTTTATGAGAAGGTGCATTCGGAGTCGTTTTATTAGCGCTTCCAAGCGGCGTCGACGAAGCCGCAACGCCTGTCTTTCTGCATTCCCGTCCTGCCTAAGGAACTCTGAGTAGTCCGAAGCTTAATTTTCGACAAATGTAATTATTCGCGGGATCGCTGACTTCTTCCGGACTTCCGAATGTTTCGGACGGTCGTCGAAGTTGGGAGCAGCGTCGCGAGAAAACACCCGAGACGCCAGCAGGGCAATCGCGTTTCCGCAGTGAACCTGTCAAAGATGCTTTGCCTCTGACGCATCCGCGTGCTTCTTTTCGTTCTGTTTTGATTATTCGATTCGTACCTGGCTATCAGAACTGGAAAAAAAAACGGCGCGCTTATGTTTTCTGCGTGGGAATAACGTCTCTCGTATTCCAAGACGCTCTTGCAGTCGTCGGCGCTGCCGTCACCGTCGTCGGTGTTGAGTTTACAGTGCTTCAATCAAGCCCCTTGTTGAAGGGTGGTGACCTTTTCCAGCCACAGTTACGTAGGGAAGTGCTCGAAGCTCCATATTTCAAACAACGGCTGTGCGGGCAGGTGACTAAAACAAGAGAAACTTTTTTTTTTTTTCCACAAACAGCACTGCTGCCTGTCTGTCACAAGCGGGTACAAACGAAACGTCCTTTAATCACTGTGCGAGACAACCCTGATAGTGTTTGAGAAACTCGTAATTGTGTTCACGGAAGGCCAGGATTGGCCGGTTTGTTCACCGACATCGAATGTCTTGTCACGAGTTTCGCAATGATCGAAATTTAAAATGTGTACTTCGTGTAGTGATTGCTTACTCGCGTACTTAAAAAAACAGGGCGTTCATAAAGTTTTGAGGCTCTGTATGGGAGTGTGCTGGTTTTACAGGTCACGTTCAAGTGACAGTCGCATTTTTTTCACACACACCGCATGTGGCTGTCAGGCTTTCTGGAAGTGTGGGGTCAATGTCTTGTTGAACGTGTTTTTATCATGAAGGACATTGACATTACACTGTTTGCACATTTCAATTATTCTAGCGACCTTCAAGAATTGAATTTCTGTGGGAGCATAATTATTGCTATTTGATTATTTCTGCATCATTCAAGCAACAGTTGAGTGTAAGCTTGTAGGCAAACTTCGATGTGCAAGTTAAGCAAATGAAACATCCTAAATTCGAGGTTGTTTTGCTGGAAGTATTTTGCCTGGTGGGGAAAGAGGGCCTTTTTTATTTATAACTGATACCCGCTGCTGTTTCACGGGAACAACAACTTTTATGCTTCAAAAAGTGCCCCATTTGCACAGTGAATCGCGTGGATATAGCTCTTTTTAGCTCTCTCTTGTCACGTAGTGTGGCTTTGCCAAGTGTGATGCCTTACCATAACTGTGAAACCCCATAGATGTTTTAGAAAAAGCACTGCACAAAAGTCGAAATTCATTTAGATTAACTGTCTGAAGAGACTTCTCAAAACATTGTCTAACTTTTGCGTAGGAACTTTGTCATCCGTTACTCTTTTTTTTTGTTTCCTTTGTGTCCATTCTTCTCGGGCACTCTGTGTTCCTGCCGTACAAGACCTGTCAGCTACGTAGTTGCAATTTACAAGCATGAAACATATGGATTATGAGGCCATGATTTTTCATTGATGAAAGCTGAAAAGTGGGGTTGTGGGATTATTTGGTGTTTCTCGGGCAGGGTTCCTTTCAGTTTCACTTTATTGAATGTACTAGGATGGGAGGGTTCAGTATAGGGAGGAGTATACAGAAAGGGGTAAAATGCATAAAATAAAAATAAAATCAAGATCAACCAATGTGGTGTGGGATATTTAATTATTTGCACTGTTTTTAGGCAGTTCTTCACTTCAGTGAGGCTTATCTCTCGCACACTGCTTCACCCGAGCTTCTGTGAGCTGCTTTTAGCTCCCCTGACCGTGTCTCTCACCGTTGTAGAGAAGTGTAGCTGTTGGATCGGCCCCTACTATGCATGTGTGTGGGGAAGTATAGCCAATGCTATGTACTCATGGTGTAATGTTTTGAGTTCCCTCGTTTCATTTGCAGTGGTATGCATGTGTGCCGTGAAGAGAACTGCATGTTTTGAAACACTTCTTATTCTCACAATAGCAAAGCTGAACTGATCTACACATTATTTGAAACTCCTTTATTATGGGAGGGTATATACAGACAGAATTGTTCACCATGGGCTTCACTTCATAGTGAGCCCTTTTACAGACCTGTGTGTTGTAAATTTCAAATATCCTGCACAGCGTACTGTGGTGATATCTGAATTTCGTGAACGAGGGTAGACGGATAGGTGTAGAGAAACAATAGAGCTGAAGTTTGGCCACCCTGTTAATGTTTGATTCAGAAACAAACTGAAAAAAAAAAAAGACACTTCATTACTAGTGCTATTTGTTACTCTGCATTTATTGCTTTAGACAATTTGCATCAAATGCCACGGGCACTGATGTCTTTTTTTATTATTATTGCCTTTCAGTTGTACTTACTTCCACTTGAAAATTATGCTGAGATATGTAGAGTGAGTATTGTATATTCTAACATTTTGCGCAAGACGTTTTTTTGCCAGTGAATTTTTTTTTTGCCCCAAGATGTGAGCTGGCATAAAAATTAGATGCCTTAGTGACTACACGTCATGAAATATTATTGCATAAGCAAAGCGATCTTCTTTGACAAACGTGCAGCAGCCATATTTATCAATTAAGCAGGATGCTGTTATGTTGGGCTAAAGAGAAATTTGTGCTCTACAAAATTGAGAAAACCTCTTTATCAAGAGTGCAACTTTCATAAGGATTTAAAAATGGCATGCAAGCATAGGTGGAAAAAGAAAAGGGGGGGGGGGGAGGGGGATTGCTTCATAAAAGTATGCGTAGGTGTACCAAGTTGGTTTTAGTACTCCTAGATTGGGCAAAGGTGGTCTGGCATAGATTTATTATTAAGCTTCAAGTTTGTCTTTCTTTTTGCTAATGTTGTGTCACTATGTGCTGTATCCAGCGGCAGATTTTCTTGACAGCACTGCGGAAGCTACAGAACCTATGTGCATGCATTCTACAGTGCCAAAAAATAGTACTTAAGTTTACCAATGATTTTCCCATAGGCCTTGCTGAATAAATGCTGCTTTATTTGTCACACTCGTACAGTTGCAGGAAGCTGTAGGTAAAACAGTCATTAGTCACTTTGCAAGAATGCCTTCGTTTTTACGGCATTTTTGAGACAGCACCACCATTTCGGCACATCCATTTGTAAAATGCAGCGAGTCAGTGTGTGGCCGCAAACCAAGTAAAATGTACTCGTAATATGGCAGTCAAATGTACACCGAAACATGTAAATGTTTCTTTCATTAAAATTTTTTGTGTATTTTATTTTCTAAATGTGTTAATAATGTGAGTGAGCAAAACCAAAATCGGTCGTAAGGTGCCATACTGCTTGTGGAGCAACACGAATGTGCCGAAGGCCCGCCTGCGTAGCCTTCTCTCCGGTTCAAGATAAGTTGTTGCTAAGTATAAGTTAGTTGGTTCATACTTTAGTTGAAACACACTAGAGCTTGTGTGGGAACACGTCCGATAGAGCCTTTTGTTCCCATGTCAGGGCAGTACTTCATTGACCAGTATGTGGCATGTTGCAGAAACAAGATGTATGATTTGTAAATAAAAAGAAAAGGCTCCAGAGAAAACTGCCAAAATGCAAAGCATTGCTTGACTTGGAATCAAGGAATCCCACCACTACTTGAGGCTTGGCCAGTTGAGACGTAGTTACCTGTCCACAAACTTACCACAATTCCAGATTACTGTTTTACTAGAGACTAACGTTGATGGCTGCCAGATTGATGGTGCCGAATGGCTGGGCAGAATTAAACCATACGAACAGAGACCCATTATTGCTGTAACAGTGCGTGTTTTGCTTTCCTTCTGGTGCCATTGTCTGTCTGCTTTGCAATCAATAAACATGTCTTTTTCTACTGTTTTTTTTTTTTCCACGAGTGCTCATGTAACGGTAAGGCTTCTCTGTTAGGCAATGTGGGTAGTTGTATCACAAGCTGTCGCCAGCAGCATCTAACCTGGTATCTCGCAAACGCTGTTGGGTATGTTGAAACACCAGATATGCTAAAGCTCTCTGTCATGATAGAAATGAATAAAAAACTAAAGGCAAAAGGAGTGCAGGATGCTCTTTGTTGTTAGGGTGTTCGTAGTGGCATTTTTTCGCCCAAGTTTTCGTTGTATTGGGGGGGGGGGGGGGAGCCTCAAGTTCTGCAGTTTAGCCACCGAGGGGCATGCACAATTCGTACTTGGGAGAGGTCTGTTTATCGGCCTTTTTCCTGTGTGTGTGCAGCGTGGCAGGAGTGCCATGGGTAGGACGGGCTGCGAGCGCCGACCTGTAGGGAGCCCCCCTGGGGGACTGCAGCCCCGGTAGTGGGCACTGCCAGCCCCCCACCCTCCCTCCTGCTCGGAGGAAGGACCCAGCAGCATGCCGTCCTTCTCGCGCCTCGGGAACCTCAAGGACCCCGAGCTGGCCGAGCTGTTCGACAAGGATGATCCCGACAAGATCTTTGTGGACCTCCGTGAGATTGGCCACGGCAGTTTTGGGGCGGTCTATTACGTGAGTTTGTTTTCTGACTTCGCTCTTTATTTGGAAATGGCAGTAATCACTTCTGATAATAAAGACCAGGCGTGCAAACAGTGATGCAAGAGGAGAGCCTATACACCGGTAACGTCAGTGTTTGTGGTGTCTTAACTTATCTCTTGTGACCATCTTCACACGCCCACTCATTTAACGTAAAAACGTACCAACTAGATCAGCTCGGCGTTATCCTAAACCTCCGGTGACACTTGTTCGTTGTTGTAAATGCTTTCCTTGGTCATTTATGTGTCGTTTGTGCAGTCTGCAGCAAAATCTGTTGGAAAAACAGTTAGTGTGTGGTTGTCCTGTGGGCCTTTGTCGTTTACTGGATGATTACTTTGGCAGTTATCTGAAGATTTGCCCCGAGATATTTGAACGAGGAAGATTGTACATAGTAAGCACCAGTGTTCTAAAAGCGCTGAAAATGGGTTATGGTATGATGTCCCAGGAGCTGCTTAAAAGACAAGTGTGTTGTGCACAAATGTAGTGGTTTGCAAAGTTACCAGGCCAAGTAGGGTTCAGTAATTTCTTGAAAATTTCTCCATTCCTCAAAAGTGTGTGCGCTGAAAGAGATGCATGAAGCAAGACTTCATTGTGACTTCTATAACATGAAAAGTATGCTTCACTTACTGCAGCTTTAATTTTCTTTCTTGCATGGGTTATCCTAAAACATAAATCACTGAAGTCTACAAGTTAAGTTTGTCTACAAGTAATGATGAGACTGACTGTCCTCTGCTGCGTCCTGCGAATTCAAAGCAAGCCTTGCGGAAGTATTAGTAGAGCACAATGTGTAGCCTTTTTGTGGCAAAGGGTTGTCACAAGCTCTATAGCTTGAACCAGGCTGCATGAAATTGGTTAGATGGTGTAAAGGGCCGTGTTGCAGATATTAGTTTTCTTGATGCTTGCATAAATGTTCTGGTTTTGTACAAATGCTGGTGAGGAGGGCACGAAGAGTAGCTGCATCTGCAGCCTGATTGGCCCTGTCATCATGGTTTGCCTTATTCTAGGCAGCGTAGACATATTTACAATAGAGGCCAAGAAGGTTCTATTTGTAACTCAGTACAGCACACACTAACCTAATACCATATTCGGATACGACATTGGCAATACTCAGCTCGATTCTTTGTCCGGCGTCTTTGTTGATCTCAGTATGTGTACTTTGTTGTGTATCTGTATTAGTGTGCAAAGTGCAGAAGTTGGCTGTATTCATGCTTATGCAACCTGTTAATCATTAGTGGCCTACCAAGAATGTTTACAGACTTTATTGTTTATTTCCAATAAAAAGCTTATTTTTGCTGTTTTGTCCTTTGTCTCAGGCCCGGAACGTCACGACCAAAGAAGTCGTGGCCATCAAAAAGATGTCATTTACAGGCAAACAGTCAACGGAGGTGAGACCTACATTTAGTGCCTTATGTTGAAGTGTGTAGCCTTTCTCTTGTGCCTGCCAACTGCTGACATGTCGGTTATTGATTTTTATTTTATTTTCCAGAAATGGCAAGACATTGTCAAAGAAGTGCGGTTCCTGCGCCAGTTAAAGCACAAGAACACAATAGACTACAAAGGCTGTTATTTAAAAGAGCACACTGCCTGGGTAAGTGCTTGCTGAAAATCTACTCATCCTTTCCTGCTGACAAGTCTTTAGTGAAGTGCCAAGCCCGTGCTTTTTGTTTGGGAAGATTTTCTTCCTAGCATCTGTAGCCCTCAACGATAGCTCATTACCAGCAGTTGTAGTCAGTTTACTAAATGACTATGGCAAATCAAGCCTGTTGTTATTGGGGGACCAGCAGGAATGTCAATTCTTTGTTTTTCTTTGCAGCTTGTTATGGAGTACTGTCTCGGATCTGCATCAGATATCATTGAAGGTAAGTTTTGTGGTTGCGTCCTGGTTTATCCTTTTCTGAATTGGGGTATGCCTAACTTCGCTTTTGTCACTGCTCTTGTCCACGCTCACTGTTTAAAAGTGAAGCCCTGTAAGGTGTATGTAGTTATATTTTGATATACGATAGGTGAACAGCAGCATTCACTGTGACTTAGTCTACAGCATAAAACGTTTCGCGAGATGTTTGTTTCGCCATATTCAGAAGCACCGAAGATGGCACGATTGAGTTACAGTGCCAGGCTAGAACTCACCTAGGCCTAACATTGCCGCTTCTTTGTCTTCATTGCTAGACCTCTACGCTAAACGCTATTGGTAAATCAAGTGCCTGCTGTGGCAATAGGTTAGTGGCCAAGGTGCCTGGATGCTAAGCTTGAGGATGCAAATCACCTGGCCTGAATCCATAGAGGTGAAATGCAAGAGCACCAGTGCTGTTAGATTAAGGTACATGTAAAGAACAATAGCTGGTGAAAATGAACTCTAGTTCCCCACAGCGGCATGCTGATAATATCATGTCATTTGCATGTAGAACCTTGTTATTTAAAGGAGCACTTGCAGGTATTAAGTCAACATTGATTGTTGAAATAGCAGTTCAGAAACCTCGTAGTGCTACCTCTGGGCCAAGATAGTGCTGGTTTTGAAAGAAAATCACTTTTTAGTGGTCCACATCGGGTCAGCACAGTTCATCACCCGCCTTAAAGTGGTCTTCATCGCATCACTGATGCTGTGCCCAACATTGCCCGCCCTAACATCGTCGCCGCCGATACTAGTAGCAGCAGAGCGAAGGTAGCGGGAGCCACAGTAGCAACAACGCCCACTAATGAATTTTCTCGTTGCTTGGTTCAGACACCAGATAGCACCAGCTGTCCAGCCTAACCAGGCAAAAAAGGAGGTTTCGAACAACTCGCGCCATTTTCCATAGTAATGTCAGGCAGTTTTTTTTCTATAAATCAAGCAGAAACTGACAAACAGCATTTTATTACATCTCTTAATACATGGAAGGTTTGTTTTTATATTGCAGCTAGTTTGATTACTAACGATTAACTTAGTCAGATGCTCTCACGTCATCGGGGGCATTTCAAAGATGTCCCACTCGTGGTGCATGTCCTGTGATACATTTAGCCTGATTTCTTGGTTAGTAGGGCACCGCTGTTGATAATATTGCCGTTATAGACGTCATGCATTGAGCTCTCACGCTCATGTAAATTGTTATTTGACTTTAGTGTCCCTTTAACTTCAATTTTGGAAGTCCACTGTAGCGGTATGGTCGCTGCTGATTGGATTGTCGTGGATTCGATTGCAACTGGGACTATCGCATTTCAATGGAGGTGAATTCTACCTCTTGCTATGTTCGATGCGAGTTCACATTGAAGGACACCAGGTGGTTGAAATTTCCAGACCCCTCCACTGCTGCATGCCTCATAATCATGCTGTGGTTTCAACACCTAGAACTCCATAAATTAACTTCAATTCGGTTTTAGTGCCTCAGTTTCAAATGTTTGCACCTTTATGATTTAGAGTGCACTATCACAGTACGTGGCTTTGTGCCTGACCTTTCTTTTGCCCTGCCTCTTTTCAGTTCACAAAAAGCCTCTGCGGGAGGAGGAGATCTCTGCAATATGCAAGGATGCCTTGCAAGGTCTGGAGTACCTGCATTCACTTGGCCGCATACATAGAGACGTCAAAGCTGGCAACATCCTTCTCACCGAAAACGGCACAGTCAAGCTTGGTAAGGGCATGCACTCCTGTAGCTATCCATGAGGGCTCCGTGTTTCTGAAAAAATTGGACAATTGGTGTTTCTGAAAAAATTTGGAGCGAACAATCGCTCTTTAAAAAGTTGATGATATTAATTTATTTTTTATTTATTAACATTGAAGCTATTGTAGCTTACCTTCAGTTCCTTTCTCTTCTATTTCGTATGCACACCATTTAGTGTTATAGGTTTATTCTTACATGCTAGTCACCTTGCAGCCTTTGAGTTTGCTTGTGTGCCTTATTTTGTGCCACTGCAGCGGACTTTGGCTCGGCTTCCATGATCAGCCCGGCCAACTCCTTTGTGGGCACGCCGTATTGGATGGCACCCGAGGTTATCTTAGCCATGGATGAAGGCCAATATGACGGGAAGGTGGACGTCTGGTCCCTGGGGATCACGTGCATTGAACTGGGTATGTCCGTGACAAACCCCGTGTGTGTGTGTGTGTGTTCAAAGTTGCAAAGGTTGCTTGCAAAGCTGTGTTTACAAGCAATCATTGGCTCTCTGGGTCCTTGCAGTTAAAATGAACAAGTACATTTTATACATTGGTCAGGGGTGATCACGTGTGCAAAGTATGATGCGCCTGTTTGGTGGGAAGATGAACGAAATTTTAAACAAAGCTGCAACCCTCTACTTGCAATGAGAGCGTAGTACCTGAGAGAGAGCAAAAGTCAGTGCGCACGCCTACGTCACAATTGCTCCATTGCATGACACTGACCATGACCCACACGTTCTGTTCTTCGTGCAATATGGAGCATGCAGCGCTGCCATCAGGAATTCTTTGTGAAACAAAATGGGAAGAAAATTTAAAAAAAAAGATAGGGCTTTTTTTTGTTTTGAACATAAAATACTTCCTTACTTCAGGTTGGGCATTTAGTGAATAGCAAGGGGGTGGATTATTCATGGTTGTTAACCAAGGCATTGGTAAAGTGTATGCTCTCTCAGCGAATCTCACCCGCTAGAGCCGTAGTGAAAGTTCAGTTGAATACCTTTTTCTATAATAATAGACAATTTCAAAAGTTGTTCTGGTAATACCTTATTTACTGCCCCCAACGGGGAGGGGGGGGGGGGCTGCCTTAAATGTAGACCAGACGAAACAACGAGGACAGCGTTCACAATGAGAAAACACTTATAGAACGTGAAGTCGAAATGAAGGAGTTGGTTCGTGATGTAAATAACTCGTGAAACATCCGCTAGTCTTGTTGTGTGTGTTTTTTTGTCGCTTTTTTGGCGCTGCTTCTAGTTGTTTGCATCATAAAGATGCCGCACTCATTCAGAGTCGTCGCCGCTGACTTCTTTGTCGCTGTCTTCAAAGAGTGCGCATTATCTTGAGTGTCATCGAGAGCCGAGGATGTGCCGCACTTCTTAAAAGAGTGCACAATCAAAGTGTTCTTGGGTTGTCGTCCCATGCTGCATCCAGTGACGCACATTTTTTTCGCCCTCCCCGAAGTCCCATCCAGCTTGAAGGTTGGACGACGACTCCGCGGCTAGGTCAACATTTCTTTCATAAGCGACATTATAATGGCAGCCCCTGTTTGGCTTCATTTAGCTGCCCCACACTCAGACCACTCATGATGATTGATTGATTTGTGGGGTTTAACGTCCCCAAACCACCATATGATTGTGAGAGACGCCATATTGGAGGGCTCCGGAAATTTCGACCATCTGGGGTTCTTTAACGTGCACCCAAATCTGAGCACACGGGCCTACGACAGTTCCGCCTCCATCGGAAATGCAGCCGCCGCAGCCGGGATTTGAACCCGCGACCTGCGGGTCAGCAGCCGAGTGCCTTAGCCACTAGACCACCGCGGCGGGGCCACTCAGAGCACTCGATGCGTGACTTGAATTGACAATCGCTCGTTAACACTCACCACAAAGATCAAAATGGCAGCCTCACATGTGTGCTTACTAAAGCCAGATGTTGGCTTGGCTACTAACAGCTATAATATCATCTAGGTGGTGCTAGCTGTGCACCACTTTTTCAATTAAAAAATGGTGTGTTTTTCAAAATCTTCCAGTCTAAGCCGACCCTAAAGTTTGATGCGAAGAAATTTGGAAAAAAAAAAACTATTTGCCTAGATTCGAATCAACGGTACCTTCTGGACTGCACCTTACAACTTTCGGTGTGTTATCAAAATTTTCTGATTGTTCTGCTGAGGCAATTTATGAAGCGATTAGCTCCTGATAGTGAGGTAATTTGATGATAACTGGGAAAATTGGTTTCGGACATTTTTAATATGACAAAATGTCTGCGAGAAAAGCTCTTCGTGGATGTTCAGTTACGGGTGTGTGTAGAGAGACAGATGGAGATGGCTGCTCTCATTAGATGTAGAGAACATGTTAACGTAGTGTAAATGTAATATAGCAAACAATCTGTCTCTCTCTCCATAGGTGAGCGGAAGCCTCCCTATTTCAACATGAATGCCATGAGTGCCTTGTACCATATCGCCCAGAATGACTCGCCCACACTTAGTGGAGGGGAATGGTGAGTGCTTCTCACATTCACTTGCTGTCACTGAAAGCTTGCTAGAAATTCTAGTGGCATTGGTAGTGGAGCATTGCCTCATCGTTTTCTCTAAACATGGGTACTCATACTTGCAACTTGGCATACTGTCTGTGCCTAGGTTTTAGTGCAGTGGAACGCCATTATACGACTTTCAGGAAACCACACAAAACTGTCGTGTAATCCAGGCGTAGTATAATCAAAATACTAAGTAACACTCAGCCTTGCCCAAAAAACGGGTACAGACTGCCTGAATAAGCCTACATCGTGATATTGTGCCTCTGCAAGGAAGGTAGAATAAATTATTCTTACCAGTAGCAGCTAATAGCAGCATTACTTAGTTGAAGGAGGTGCAAGCATATCTTTTTCTTAACCTTAAAAAAAGATCTAGTCCAATGTGCATCTTTCTACCAATAGAGTCGGATCATTGCCTGTGCGTGAAAAGGAAACCGAAACGGTGCTGTCAACAGCTTCCGCCAGAAGAATCAGACACTGTGTTATCGCTGTCACATAATGGTGACGGACCACGAGTTTGCATAGAATGCCTTCGTGCATCACTGAGCTGTGCGCATTGTAGTTTGTTGCCTTGTTAAGTGACACCAGCGGTGTCTTGCTCTTATTATGAATATTGACGTTAAGCGAAAGTAATTTTGCACGGTGAAAACAGCTGCACCGCGCCCTTATGCGTGGGCAAGCCCGTGACTGCGGGTGCACAAGGCAGGAGATCAGCTGCATGTCAACCAGGAAAAGTTTTCACGGATTGAAAGGAAAAAAATATCACCTTTTCAGCTGGCTGAAGCTACTCTGTGTTTGCATTGCTTGACTAGGCAACGACCCCGTATACGTATGCACGCAATTGAGGCATATGTGGAAGTGCAAGAACTTCTAGGAGAATAAATTATCCATTCTGAGAAGGGGGACATCCCGTCTTGCTCTATACTTTTCTAATCGTCAACCTAGGGGAACGTAAGTTTATTTTGCACTCGTGAATATTTGGTTGACATTCGATTCGTCTAAAGGTGTTTTTTTTTTTTCTTTTGGACGGAATGGGAAAGCTGTCGTAAGGTGCGAGCTCAGCGTAAAGCTGCGTCGTATAGCAAAGGCTTTTAATACATTATTTCTCTGGGGATGTTGCCCCCTAGAAATAAGTAGTTCAAAGTTATGTTATACCGGCTCATATGCTCCAAGTATAGCAAATTTTAACACACAACATATTTATAGGCTATCACTTGAATTCTCTGGAAAGTGAAATCTTGCTACAATTCAAAGTTGTTTTCTCTTCAATTGATGAAAAAAAAGGCATTTGCACAGGCTTCGTTTCAATTTTTTTTAATTTGTGCTGTTTAGTTGGTTCATGACGAATACACAATTTTTTTATAATAATTTATATATATGCTATTTAAATTCCATTCAAAATTATTTGACCAAATTTACTATTTGCTGCAAATTCGCTTAGAACCTGAAATTTCCTATTCGTACAAGCCTACAAACATCATTTTCTTTCAGCATTAGAGAGCACTTATTTGTAAACCTCACACTGAATATAATTTTTTTTTATTTGGTCTTGGTGCTAGAAATTCTGCTGTGTACCCTTCCTATTACTTCTGTGCACTCAATTAGACTTCTGTGCAATCAGTTCAACTTCTACCTCAGATTGCTAGTTTGTGCCCACACGTTCAGTGGGTCGAAACAGTAACCTTAAGCTTGAAATTAGCTTTGTTAGATGCTAAATGTGTTCCACACTCATCGGAAGGCAGTCGCTGCAGCCAGCACCATAACAACGGCAACAGCCGTGATGGCATAATTGAAGCGTGCTGTCAGGCTTTAATTGTGAAAGCTCGTTCAGAAGTGGTCCTTTACAAGCTTTGCTTGCGCCAATGAAATCTGGTGAAGCGTTTCCTGCTATTCGTAAACTTGCTTGTCTAGAAGAGAAAAAGAGGGATAAAAACTGGCGCTGTGTTTCTCCTTTAGTTGTGCAGCACTGTCTCGCTCGTAGTTGTGGTGGAGTGATTTGAGAATTGCAAGTTTTAAAATGCAGTGTGACTGCAGTGAGGCTGTTTTGATTAACACTGGTTATGCTAACTTTTCAGGTCGGACGTCTTCAGGCATTTTGTAAATTCCTGCCTTCAGAAGAACCCTGCAGACAGGCCCACAGCCGTCAACTTATTACAGGTGAGGTAGCACATCACATGCAATGTAGTTTCTTGTTTTGGTGGTGCTCCAATATTATTATTAAGGGCAGTCGTGCCATGAGAAGCTCTTTTTAACTATAATAGCCGTAATATTGATAGAGAAGTGGTAAAAACACTTGAAAGCGGACACATCATCGCCATTAGAACGGCGATGTTCGACCGCTCCTTCTGAGACCCTTTTTGTTGTTTCTTTAGCTACATATTATATTCTGCACTATCCGATATCCGCATGTGACAATTTTCCAGGCAGACTTGCAAACGACAACATGACTCGCTTGTACCGCCATCACTCTGCGCAGTTCAAGTTGCGCACGCAGTCGAGTAGATATTTGCAGATGAGTCTGATGGGGTTGTTGGCGGTGAGTCATAATGACACGTTCGTTGCCGGCCGCCACCTCACTTGTGCTCTTTTCTGATGCTAATCTGTGAAGGCGCCGCAGCAATCTTGCAGAAATCGTCATTGGTAGTTGGCCAGTCTCTGCTGTTATCGAAAGGACCATTTGCGGCACATTGTGGCGTCAACAAGTTGAGAGTTGCAGCAAACTTTTGTGCCATAAAAAGTTGTCGCTTCTTGCATTTTTATGGCTTCTTGCATTATAAAGCACTGCTTGGATTATTACATAGTCATAAACGCAGCTTGAGAGCGGCATCAAAAAAGGTTTGCCATACGAAAGCCGGGGGCAAGTATTTATGCTGTGGCCTATTTCTCTCCTCTTCTTTTTTTTTTTTCACCCCTCACTGTGCTCTGCCGCCAAAGAAATGCCTGGAAAGTGAGCCACCTCACTTGTAGCATCCGAAATGTATGTGCGGTGCTTGCCACATTGGACAATGTTTTTGCAAGTAAACACTGCAGTTGGACACGCGCGAGCGAGTGCCTCTCTCGTGCTTTAGAACGCCTGTTTCAATGTAATTTCTGCTTTGTAGGTGCTATATTTGTTCTGTGACCATGTCGGAAGTACCGTAATTACTCGAATCTAACGTGCACCTTTTTTCCGGTTAAGCGAGTTCATAAATCGCATGCGCGTTAGAATCGAGTACGAAAAAAAAAAAAATGAGTACGGTCATTCTATTGCCATCGGCATTTCCAAAATGGCCGCCCCCTACTTGCGTCGGCATCGCGCGTCGGCCATTTCTGCCTATGTGTTTCCCATGTGCAGCACTTCGTACATGTGCTGAGGAGTTTGTCATCTTGTAGTGCATTAGCATCGACGGCATGGAAGGGCCGACTCCAAAAACTCGAGTGCACCACGATGCCGCTTTTAAAGGAAAAGTCATCGCGTGTGCAGAAACGGACGGAAATCGGGCCGCATCGCGGTCGTTCGGAGTTCCCGAAACGTGCGTGCGGGACTGGCGGAAACAAAAGCAGAAGATTGTCAACAGCAAAGCTTCACGCAAAGGCTTCAGTAGACCACAGCAGAGTCGGTTTCCGCAAATTGAAGAACTGCTCGGCGAGTATGTGCTTGAGCAGCGAGCGGCACAGCGGCCCGTGACGACAGAACTGCTCCAAGTGCGGGCTATGCAATTAGCCTTAGAAAAAGGTCTAACGCGGAGCCAGTTTAAAGCGAGCAGGTGCTGGCTAACCAACTTTATGAAGAGGAAAGGCTTTTCCCTCCGAAGGTGAACGGGCATATGCGAAAAATTTTGCGGAGGAGTACGATGAAAAGCTTCACAGTTTTCAGAGGTTCGTCCTAAACTTGCGGCACAACAACGGCTGCCTGCTTGGGCAAATCGGGAATGCCGATCAGATGCCTCTTTACTTCGACATGCCTGGCACCACAACCGTCGAGAAAAAGGGGGCGAAGGAAGTTCGCGTGCTGACATTGGTCCACGGTAAAACTACAGTGACGGCAATGCTCGTGTTACACGTCAGATGGGCACAAGCTTCCCCCATACCTCATATTTAAATGGAAGACGCTCCCGAAAGGAGGTGTTTTTTCGAGTGGTGTGATCATGCGGGCCAGCGAGAAAAATGGGTGCGCATTGCAATTGATGTCTTACTTCTTTTTTTTTTTTTTCGTCGTGGAAATCGGGTGCGCGTTACAATCGAGGGCGCGGTAGAATCGGGTAAATACGGTATTCATTCTAAAAGTGGGAGGCTTAGAAAAGTGTTCACTATGTGTGGAAGCACTTTCCGTGGGTGGCATAAAAAAAAATTATGAGTGCACCGAAATATGGTCATTATAACTGATAGATCCTTATATCTAGGGTCTTTATAAGTGGTTTCGACTGAGTAATGGTGATGATTATGATGATACAGCACTTGAAAATGCCCTTATTTTGATTTTCCTGACATTTATAGTAGCCCTGTTGTCGGCTGTTGTCTAAAGTTAGCAGCTTTTTTGTCTCAGTTTAACAACACATTAAAAAGAAAGAAAAAAAAAATGGCAACACTGACGTAATGCTTTGTGTGTGTCCGTCCAGCATCCGTTCATGACGCGGCCACGCTCAGGCAAGGTAATAGTAGACCTAATCCAACGGACAAAGGCAGCAGTTCGGGAGCTGGACAACCTCAACTACCGCAAGATGAAAAAAATTCTCATGATTGACTCGCAAGAGAACAACGAGGCCATTGCAGTGGAAGCCGAGGATGACTCGACGGTAAGTTGCTTGTCGTTGCTTGACTGAACATGTTATCTGATTGAAGGGCCTATACGGGCTTTGAGTGAATGGATAGCAAGTGTTGTTGTATGCAGCATCGAAAACTCGTTTCCTTTTATGCGCTTGGCTCTGTGTACAAAGTGAAATGCAGAGAATACCCATGTGCTTTGATCTAGGTGCACGTAAAATGCCAGGAGGGTGAAATCATTTCCAAGTCCCCCCCAGTTTGGCACGCCTCAGAATTGTATCCACTTTCAAGGCTTTGGCACTAAAAACCCCAGCAATTATTGTATTGGCATCTGTGTAATAATGCTGCTGTCATTGTATGTACTTGAAGTTCTTGTAGACAAACAACATAATGTGCCCACCAGCTTTTTTATAGTCTGGCTTCCTCTGAAGCGGGTTCTTTAATGAGCGTGGGAAACTTTGCAGTAATTACTGTGACTAAAGGCAAGTATTATGTTGATGTTGATCGCTGAAATAGTGTTCCAGAACCTGGTAGTGCTATTTTTGTGCCAAGGAAGTGCTTAGTTTAAAATAAAATTATGTTTTATTGGTCCACATCACGCTAGCACACTTGAAATTACCCACCTCTACTGGAATATTTCACGTCACAGTTGCCGTGCACAACGTTGCCCAGCTTTGCTGCGTGGCCATCGACACTATTAGCAGCAGAACAAAAGCAGCGTGAGCCACAGCAGCAACAACGTCCGATGAAGAATTTCCTGCAATTCCCTCCAAGATTGCAGACGTGCTTGGTTCAACTGGGCCCCGCTAGATGGCACAGCTTGTCCAGTTTGACCAGGCAAAAAGTGAACTTTTGAGCCACCCGCACTATTTACTACAGTAACGTCCAGGTTTTTTGTTTTTTTTTTTCGTGAATCAAACAGAAATGAACAAGCAGCATTTTATTATGTCTCTTGATGCTTGGAAGATTCTTCATTTAGTGCAGCTAGTTCTATTACTAGTGATTAATTTTAGGCTGTAACTCTGACATCATAGGGATCATTTTGCGAATGTCCGACTGCGGTGCACGAGTTCTCATGCATTTACCTGAATTTTTCGGTAAATGGGGTACTACTGTTGATAGTATTGTCGTTTTAACGTTGTCATTCATTGAGCTTTCACTCCGATCTTAGTGTGCCTTGAAGTACTGGCATGTCCTTTTAAAAGTGCAGGAGTGAGGGGATGCGGAGTTGGCAGGATCTCTCTGGATCTCTCCTTAAAGTAGCATTAGGGCTACATTTGTGTGTAGTCTGTGTTATTTGCAATACTGTTAAACCTGGATATAACGAAATTAATAAATTCCCAAAGAAATTTGTTATGAAGAGGATATCGTTAATGCAGGTTCGGTACGAAACTTCGGAAAGTAAACGTGCAAATTAAACAAAACCGGGACTGAAGGCAGAGCTAACCCAAAGCACTTATTTTACAGTAAAAAGCTGCGTTATTATTACAATACCAATTATATGGACACTCGCAGCGGGTTTTCGCTGTCGCCGCCATATTCCGTAACAAGTCCAAATTGATAATACATGTGGCCCCGCGCATCGTAACTCTCACAGGCGGGTGAAAGCGCGTGAGCGCTGGTGAAGCAGAGGTGAAATGAGTCTGCCCATCCCTATCGCCTGAAAAGTACATAACATCTCCCACGTGTTGTTAAAACTGTCGTTGAATGCTCAAACAGAAAGTAAACCACCCGTCTTGAGTGAGCATGAAACAACGCGGGGATCGCTTGAGTAGCAATAATGAACTTGAATATCAAGGGCGGTTGCGATCGCTGGCGCGCTTGCTATTTCAGCGAGTATCAGTGCGGTTTCACTGCGAGCGCCATATTTGCTCACACTAGCGTTTTGTAGGAGTTCCGTGATATGGGATCCAAAAGAGTTGGCTGCCAGCCTTACTTCTTACCACATTACAATTTCTTGCTATCGCGTTTCTTGCATTCAATGCGCCGTCGTGTTGTTGCCAGAACTAATTGGCTACTCACGAAGGCTACCAGTCTGTGAACTCGTGGAACGGCGCAAAAACGAAGCGCGTGACGAGTTGACCTCTGAAGATCCGTTGTCACCGTGGTGTCGGAGAGTTTCCATTAGTGTCTAATCTGACATCCCCTCGGTGGTGAGGACAAGGTTATCCAAAATTAAGAAAAGTTCGTTTTACAGTAAGGGCGAAGCATTAAATGCGATAACTTGAAATGCAACCCTGAGAACAGCAAGCAGATAGAAAGGTGCAGCGTGCTGCTCACGCACAAATGACAAACGAAAACACATACACGGGATGACAGAAAACTAACAACGTTTACCGCTGTACACTTGACGCGCTGTTTAAACAAAAACGAGGCACGAAACGTAATCGCAGGTACAGATATGAGTGTGAACTAACAAGTGCCCCAGTTGTCACTTCGCTGCGTTTAAAAAGTGCACTCTTTTTGCGAATGGCGCCTGTCCAGCGAGCGAAGTGATTTTTGTGCACTCGCTACTAAACGCAATCGTTCCGGTCAAAGTCGAAGGCACGCGATTCTCACCACCGAAGGATAAGCGCCGTGCGCCGTGCACGCGCGTCTAACCCCCCCCCCCCGCCCTCTCCCCATTCGCGGAGCAAAGTACCCCCCTCCACCCTCCCCCCATTCGCAGAGCAAAGTAGGGGTGGGAGATAAGCACAGATCGTGTACCGTGATAAGCTGGGCTGATGAGCTAGGCGCCTAGCGCTGATGGCCTTTTTTTCTTGAGTTTTCATATATATAGATGCGTATACATATAGGATGAATGACGGCGGCGGTAAGAAATCTGCCGAGACTGTCTATGTACATAATTTCTATTGCAATAAAAAAAAAAAAAGCAGAGCTGAACGTCGTTGGGTGCCACAACAGACATGGATACCATGGAGAACTATTCAGTAAAGCGCCCTCCATATGCAGCATGGCCCCACATATGTGACGCTACCAAAAAGCGTGGCACTGCCAATGCGCAAAAGTAGATGTTTTTTTTTATTATTATTTAGGGGGGGGGGCACACCCGTCGGCGAGAACGGCGGCAATGCAGGCTCGTGGGGTGCAGACCCGCCTGCCCCGCGTTACGCCGGCGCCGCTGCTTTGAACTTAGTCGGCCTCTAGGCAGCTGCGGAAGATGCATGCTCGTACCAAAATGACAAAATGCGGAGCAAAATTTCTAGATTTTCTATGGGGCAAATTCGTTATATCTAGGTGGTCTCCCGCTGTTTCTTTGTTACATGAGGTCGCAAATACATGTGCTTCTATGGAGTGACGGCGGGAATAGAAAAACTTTGTTATATCGAGGAATTCGTTTTACGGAGGTTCGTTATAAGCAGGTTTAACTGTATACCATTTCATTGCTAGTTTTCAGTTTTTGCCACTTGCACATTGTTGTGTTGACTCCTACCTTTAATTAAAGAAAGCAGGGCCAACTTCTCTAAATAGAAGTCCCTTGTGACTTATTGATTGCCGTAGTGAGTTTGTTCAAGTTGTATCTGAGCATTTTGGTGGGAGTGCAGTCAACATTGCCCAAATAATAAATGACAGTATTTTTCGAGGTTTCGCACTCTTTTCCTCTGTTTATACGCAGTTACAGCCCAAAGAAAAAAAATGACAGCCTAGTTCACAGTCATTGCTGTCGCTCCCACAGTGAATTCGCATAAATGCTCCATTCTGCAGCACGGACATATTTTCAGTTAATTGACACTTCCATACAGACACTTGTTTGTGATGCTTGTGATGCTTATTTTTGGTTGTAAGCGTGAAGTCCAGATAAATATCATCGGGGATTTTAACACCACTGCTCTGCCATATGTTATGTGTTAGGTCATACCGGTGAACCTGTAACTCTTAACATGCATAGTGTCTATGCTAGTCAAGAAGACTTACTTGACAGCTTGAGTGGAGACAAGCTAGTGCGATCATCTTATTAGTGGAAGTTAGCTGTGCTATGGTGTTGTGGGCTGTAACTAATTGTAGCTTTTCAGCTCTGTGGCGGTGTTAACATCCTGACAGCAATGCTTTCTTGTCACTTTCGTTGTCATGCGGTGAATAACTGCAATGTGTGACAATGCCCGTCTCGCAGGAGGACGATCAAGTGAGCACGGGTGGCAACGGTGGTGGCAGTGCGGGCAATGGCGGGGGCGAGGGCAGCAAGAGCAGTAGCCTGCGCTCCAACCAGAGCCAGCAGAGCAGCAGCAATGTGAGCGCGGGCAGCCACAGCAGCAGCACCAGCAGCCTGCCCCCAGCGTCCGAGATGGACTCCTACCCGCCCTCCTCATTCCGACATCCGCGGGACAGCGTAAGCACTTACGTTCCACGATTGAATTTCCTTTCGGCGTTATTGGTGTGTTCAGACGTTGGACTGATCTGCGTATGGCCGAGTCTTGTGACGGCAAAAAATTGACTGCTCCGGCTGCTTGCATCGTACAGATGTGCTGCCCGGTAAAAAAAACCGGGGAGGCTTGAATTGCGGCCATTTTTTAACTGCAAATGATGCTGCGTATAAATTTCAAGGGATAAACCATATGTCCAAAAAGCTGCCGGTATGCACGGCTGCTGGAAAAAAAAAAAAAGGAGAGAGAGAGAAGCAGCAGCTCTTGTTGTTGCTCCACGCCTCTCAACTTGTGTCCCGTAGCCGAGGATGGGGGTGCACGCGGAAATGTTTTCAGCATTGTTATGTGGCACTGTCCCCATACAAGCTATCGTCTCCCTCAACCGGAAGTGGAAGGTCATGTGATGATGCAGCTTGGCCGGTCATCTGAATGCATGATTGTAGAACCTTTTCAAGGGATATTTTTTTGACAGGCCGCGGCAAACAGTGGCCATATGGGAAGACATACTTGATCACCTGATGCTGCACTATTGCGTGACAAAAGCCGCTCTCATGCAAAGCTTTTGTTGGAAGTGCGTTCTTGCTCCTTCATACAGCTGTATAGTATAGTCGCTGTGTGCACAAGAGTGCTTCACTGGTTTTTTTTTGTGTGCAGTGTCTTGTGCTGCTCTTCACTCTTGAAGACGCATGCTGGCCCACCCAACTTTCCATTGCAATTTTGTGAGTGCACTGAATCATATATTGGCTGGCACAATGGTAACAATGGCTGGCAATGTGCACTAAAGTAACTTGTAGAAGTAGCTCAAGTGTTCGAAATATATGAATAAAATCATGCATCGGTGCACATGTAAGTGCTTGGACTCTTACACAGAAAATCGCTGTTAAGAACCTACAGCTGTGTACACTCTTCTACCAAACAATAACTCAGTGCTGCGCAAATGTGTGCGAGCTAAAGTGTTGGGTGCTTTGCAATATAAAATTACTTTGGGGGTGGTGATTATTACCCGTTTGCCCACTGAACGTTGCTCTTGTTCACCTCTCTTTGCAGAATTCGTCGTCGACCAGCTTGAATAGTACAGACGCAGGGGCCACCAACAACTTTGCAACAATACGGACAACATCTATAGTAACGCGCCAGATGAAGGAGCACGAGCAGGAGAACCAGATGCACGAACAAATGTCGGGCTACAAGAGGATGCGGCGCCAACACCAAAAGGCACTAGAGCAGGTGAGTGACCTCGGTGCTGACATGGAGCATCTTGGCTTTTCTAGTCTACTGCACGGAGTTTCCTACGATGTTCAACCAGAAGGCACTGTGGTGCTGCGACCGCTAGCACCAGATTTGCTTCTAGAATACTAGTACTGTGAAACTTTATGGTGTACTACTACATTGCTGATGCGACATAAACTAAATACTGGAAACAAAAGTGTGGGCATTATTTAACCCTAAATTGACTCACTTCATTCTTCAAGCAATGCAAGTGCAACACCTTTTTTTTTTTTTTTCCTTTCATAGCGTTGGTTAGTCTGCTGTATAAGAGCTGCATACGGCAGAATGCAACTGTGAAGCTTTGTCCTGTGGCGTCTGCTGTGAAAACATGTTAAAAGTACCAATACGTTTGTTTCAGATGGAAGCAAAATGTATACAAGAAATGGATGATCACAAGCAGAAGCTAGACAAAGAATATGAAACTTTGTTACAACAGTTTAGTAAAGAGCTAGAAAAATTACAAATGAAGCATCAACAGGATCTGGAGAAAAAGGTGGGCTTTTAGTAGCATTTCAGCTGCTTTTTTTGCTATTTTGGTGATGTTTTTCTCTTTCATTTGTATGCTCGTGAATACTTGTTTTCTCTCACACGCACAGCCCAGACTGCTGTACATGTGCAGCTTCATTTTATGGTGTTGCTGTCCAACTTTGCACCTATGAAGTGAAGTGTTAGGCTGGGCGAGCTGGTATAGATTCACGTCGAGGTTTAGCAAGTGGAAAAGGGGACACAGGGAAGAAGACACAAAGCAGGCTCTGACTGAAAACTGAAGTTTATTCAAAAGTAAACCGCCTATGCTGTCCTGCCAAGGTTACAGCCCTTGCTTTGCTTTTGGGAAGGCCGGCTATTCGCAATGCCCACGAGCTATAGGTGCCACGCCGTGCAATATAAGATGGCTGTGGGAGGATGATCAACACATGAACTCGCATAGAAAAAAAAAATAGGACGCACAGACTTATGCCCCGTGCCGCTTTCAACGGATGAACTTTTGATCGCCGAAGGAACATATATCAGACCAAAGTACTTTACCAAACGATAAGAAGTGCTAAATGTTCGCTACCTAATTTCTTGCTGCAGTGCGAAGAGTGGTGGTGTCAGCTGCTCGACCGTGCATCAACGACGCTTTGCGCAATCCTGCATGTGCTACAGAAAACTGGGCGAACTCAACGTATGAACTGAACGACGCTAGCAAGTAGCTAGCAAGTAGCGTGCCGTCGCAGCTGCACGGGACTGAATGTTTAATGTAGGGATGGGTTGCAAACATATTGCGCCGTCGTCATTACTTGCGCTGTAAGTACCATGGAGTTGCTTCTTCAACAAAACACAAGCATTTAACTTCCCATTAAGTAGAGCTTGTGTCACAGCCGTGATCAGACTCTAACAGTGCGCAATTCGCTGCCTGCTGATGTTGCAGGTTTCATCAGCACGATCGAAACAAGTATATCGAAACGAATGCACGTATGCTTTTCACAACGTCGAAACTGTAAAAATTCATCGAGCAACAGCATCATTCGGAAAGTACCGGTGAAGTGCAGGAGAAGTTAGAAGAGAGGCATGGACTGTAGTCGTAACTGCACATTTCATTGCTCTAACCGTTTCGCTTCGCTGGTCGAGCTCGAGTGTGTTGGTGGTATGCGGCACTTCGTAATATTTACTGTAATAGCGCAACATGCAATGCACAAGAAAAACTATACTTTTATTTTGAGCTCGCTTAGGAATATTATACAATAAATACACTCAAAGTGACTTACAAGAGTTAGAAAACATTAGCGCACAAGGGTATGTGAAGTGCAACTCGCTGCTTGTGAGTTGGCAGCTGATCGTTCATCGTCGCTGTCACTCTCGGTGCGTTTTACATCCAATGAAAAATTCTCGAGGTCAAGACACCACTGCTGAAAGTAATCTAAGGAATTCTCTCTGCCGAACGACTTCGATAACACCAACACAGCGTCACTCACCACGTTTATCTGGGCGCGGGGAACAATTCCCTCTGACACTTGACAAGGAGCGAATCGCTTGCAGTGTGCTGCCATCTATCAACAAACGTAATAATCAAGCGGCACAGCGTTGGATAAGGTTTGAAAGAGCAAATTGCCAGCCTGCAATACTTTCCGCATACGATGAATGTTATGGGATTCATGCACTACAAAAGCACTGACGAATGCTATACACAGGTAAAGCAAAGCGAGTTTGAACTGCAAAGGTCAGAGGATAACATCCTATGCAGGAAAACTTGTGAAGCTGATATGTGTACTCTGTGGGCTATAATCGAACGCACGAGTTGCCGCGTATTTTCACAAAAACTTTGCGTCTCGCAAGAACGAATCAGATTTATTGTGTCGTAGACGGTTCGGTATATTCACTCATGCACGAAACATACAAGGTGGTTTGTGTTCGTTTCTTGCTAACGCGTTAACACTGAGGCTAGCACAGTCGAACAAGGGACCGTCTACCTACTGATCATCGTCAAGAAGACACTCCTGTATTCCACTGGGCGATGCGACAGTATATGAACATTGCGAATTGTTATTGCGGTTTGTGCATATAGACTCGAGGATGTAGGTTCAATTTCCAGCCCGAACAGCAACAGCTGCACATCTGCCATGATGCAATAAAACAACCTACAGTACCTCTGTTGGTCAGTGTTAATATGGAGTCCCCTAGTATGGTGTGCCTCGTTTTCATGTCATGGTTGTGGCACGTTAAACCCCAAAGTAGTATAAACTGCTAAAATGAATCTGTTGTTCTTTAATTTTACAGCACTCAAACAGATGAGATGTAGCGGGCTAAACTGAAGCGGACAGAACACAACACAAGTGAGATGAGATGTAGTGGACTAAACGTAACACAAGTTCTGCTCTCAACTCGCAATTTACATCAAGACACAAAGGATGTGTACATACACGCACATTATATAGTCGAGCCCGCTTATAACAAACCTGAGCCTGACGCTGCATCCGTTCGTTGTATCTCAAAGTTCATAGTAAATGAAACACAGCTTTTAAAAAAGTTGCGAGCAAAAACAAAAATTTTTTTGCCCGAAAAAGTCCGTGATGCATGTGTGTCGAAGAGCAGAAAGGATAATGGCAGTCTCGAGTTTATTTCAAATGGCAGCGTGCTCTTCGCCGAGGCCCTTGGCATAAGTTGCATGAGGCACTGGTCCAAAGTTTCAGCGTTCTCGCAACCCGATTCCTTCAAATCACTCTTGCCGCGTACTTCATTCACAATGCCCTAATTCGTGCACGGTTCCGCGGTGTAGGCATCATCATCGGCCTTTATAAAACCATCGCAACAGATGTTCCACTTGCTCTCCCATGTTAGAGTTGACAACGCGCTGCCACAAATCGCTGCTGGGGTGGTCCTGTTCGGAAGCCTCAGGCTCGGCATAGGGCCCGACGTCGATGAAGTCGGCCTTGCAAAAACAGTTTCACGCGCATGTAGCCGCCACAGCTGCCCACGAAATATTCACCAAATCTACAGCTGAAAACTGGGACGCCCAAAGCGACAAGTTGACTGCTAGATGGTCAACAGCTATGAGCAAGTGCTCCGCAACGCGGCACTTAACGCGCAGATTACGCCCAAGCCAAGCGGTCACACTTTCAACATTTTGTTGAGCGGTAGGAAAAAGAGTGGAAGGCCTCCCATCCGCCATCCTGACGAAACATGCACACCAAGAGCGAGCAAGATGCGCACACGCAACACACATACATGCCAGAATGCGTGGAACAGCTCTGGGCCCGTTTCTAATCAGAAAACAAAACACCTGAATTCGAGCCAACGTGGCTGGCGTCGCGGAACGGTGGAGACGGGCGAAGTAGTTGTGATCAAGAGAGGAGAGCATGTTTGTGAGAAAAGGGCAAGAAGTTGCGATAGAGTGAAAAGAAAGGAGGATATGACAGGAAGGCAATCTTGAAAACCAAAACACGCGAGTAGCTTGAAAGTTCCGTGAAAGTCGCGCGTAGAAAAACTTTAAAGAGTGCCCGTGCGGGCAAATTTGGGTGGTCTCACCGTCTTCAATATTTTGGAATTCGTTCCGCGCAAATTAACAGCCATTTCTACGCTGCCGCATGCGTGCGGTGGTCATGCTAAGCTGAGTGCGAAGTGAGCAAGAACAGATCCTAAACACGAAACAAATCGCGAATTATCAGAGTCCATGAGGTAGCCTACGCAAGTGCACTAGAAGGATACGATAAGACAACACGCAGACGATCGGATACAGTCGATGGCTAATGATGTTGGCCAATGGTCTGGTCACTTCATAAAAAGTACCAGCGATCAAAAACAAAGGAGAGATGGCTGACCGGGCTTCGAAAGATCGGTGGCAGTGTGAAAATACGGGCCTCGTCAGGCGATGCGGGGTGCTCATAGTGGTGGGGGGTTACAAAGGACGAAGGGGGTGCTTAACAAAAAGCGGTCGAGGAGAGCGGCAACTAGAGGGGCGCAGAGGCAGGGTCCGCGTTTAACAATAAAAATCTATGGGCACTTCGCTGATGCCTGATCAATGATCAAGGGTGGTTTCCCAAGAAGTCGGCAGAGCGCTGACTTTGTTCGCTGTAGCCAATCGGCGGCGCTCGGAGATGTTCGTTGCTAGCGCGATTTTGTGCCATCGAAACAATCCATATTTTCACGGTCATGTGGATATTGTTCGTTTTAGGTGGAAGGTTGTTTTAAGTTGGGCCATTATATGTGGGCTCGACTGTATTCATACAGCGTTTTTGTTTTATCTGCGACATCCTGCCAGTCTGAGTGCTGTAAATATAAAAAAAATGTGTTACTGCAAGTATCGCTTGAATGAATCTCTTCCGTGTGTTGCAGCTGAAGCATAACCTTGCTGGGGAGAAGAGGCTGACACGCACAATATCGCAGCAGCAAGAAGAAGAGACCAAGCGGTTCCAGCAGCAGCAAAAGGTTGAGTATAAGTACCTCAAGGAGAAGCTCAAGAAAGAGCTGAGCGATGACGGTAGCGGCGGTGGGGATGCCGCCCTGCGGGGCCACAAAGCGCAGCTGCAGCAGCGGCAGGCGGATGCCCTGGCCCGGCTGCAGCGGCACCAGGCGGACTACCTGCGGCTGGAGGTGCGTAAGTACCGGCGCCGGCGCCTGCTGCAGTACCACCGGCTTGAGCAGGAACTGCTCCGCGAGGAGCTGGCCAAGCGGCAGAGTCAACTGGAGGAAGCGCACTCCATGCTCTTGCGGCACCACGAGACCACACAGGCAAGTCTTCCTTCTACTGAACTTTTGTTCATGCTAATACATGATTTATTGACTGTGCACGCTGGTATTACTGGTGTTATCGCGCAAGTACGTTTACCAAGAGGTTTTAACAGAATCGCATTAGAGCTCGTTTTGCAAAAATTCTAGCGTCATTGTCTGCGTCCTGGGGCCTTTATTTTTGGCAAAAGATCTTCATTGGCTGTGTGTGTAAAAAAAATGGCCGGGGGGGGGGGGGGGAAGAAGCAAATACCATATTTATTCGAATTTAGACCAATAGTTTTTTTTTTCAAATTTCCTTGCATCAAGCTCTAGGGTCGGATTAGGTACGAGGATTTTTAAAAACGTGCCATATTTCATTGAGAAAAGTGATGCACAACTAGCGCCACCTAGATGCTATTGTAGCAGTTAGTAGCCCAGCCAACACCAGTGGTACAATTTTATACGCTTTAGATCCAATGCGCTGGATGGCACCGAGGATTGCCCGCTGTTTGAGCAAACAGCACTTACAAATTTTGCAGAAGAGTAAGTGCATTAAATTCCTTATGGACATGTAGTCATTCATTTGCAAAGTGATGAATTACGGTGTAGCGGGCACTTCGCAAATGTCCCTGCGGCAGGGATTCTAGGGAAGTATGAAACGGCTGAAAATTCTGTTTCTCGCAACACCGTTAAGGTGTCGTCTGCTGAGAAGTAAAGGCTAGCTAGCGAATCGGAAGGTGGTGCAATCTTTTGAACTATTTGGGGCCTGTCAGTTTGCTTGGAGCCTTGCTTCCCACGGATGAACATTCACGTGTTTCCAGAGTTTGTGTTACCGTGGCGTCGGGACTGTCGTACGCCATACTTACTAGCCCCGAATATCCAAACTTCCAGGAGCTGGAGTACAGGCAGCAGCGGGGCGTCCACCAGCTGCGTGAGGAGCAGGTGCGCAAACAGCACCAGACAGAGCTGGCCAACCAACATGAGTACTGCTCGCGGAGGGAGCGGGAGCTGCACAAGCGGCACGCACAGGCCGTCAAGCAGCAGCCCAAGAGCCTCAAGCACAAGGAGCTACAGATCCGCAAGCAGTTCCGCGAGACGTGCAAGATCCAGACGCGCCAGTACAAGGCGTGGAAGAGCCAGGTGCTGGCCTCGACGCCGAGGGACGACCAGAAGGCGGTCATCAAGAAGCTTAAGGAGGAGCAGATTCGCAAGCTGGCCATCCTGGGCGAGCAGTACGAGCAGAGCATTGCCGAGATGCTCCAAAAGCAGTCGGTTAGTCCCTCTTATCGTTTCAGTGACTGCACGAGGCTGTGGAATTTGGTGTATTCTGAAACATTCTCTTTGGGACAAGATTCAACAGCCCTCGGGCAGCGACTTCGCTTCTCGAGTATTGCGATGCATAGTTATCAGTAGAGGCCGGACTTGTAGGCACTAAAAAGGCTGGTTTTAGCCTACTAGAAAGGCTCGTTTTAGGCACTGAAAATAGACTAGCAAAACAAAGTTTTAGGCTTTCAAAATGGTCAATATAGGTACTTTGAATTTTCACATAAAAGCAAATAATTTCAAACAAAACCATGTGAGACCTCTATTTACGACAAAAAAAAAGAAAAAAGATAGCACAAAGGCGCCAACATTCATCTATATACAGTCATACCTCGTTAACTCGAAGTCGTAGAAAACCTGGGAAAATTTCGAGATAAACAGATTTTCTAGATAAGCAAAGTTGCGCTGATCTCTGGAAAAAATGAGCGCTTTTCAGAAAAATCACTATAGTACTACCACTTTCTATCTCTTCAGCGGCAGTTTTTAATCTTTCTTTTCATGCAGGTTTAAAAGAGAAAAAAAAAAACATACAAGTAACGGGCTCGCTTTTGCTGCACTGCCATTTTATTTACCAGAGAAAAACTGCCTAATGCTCGTCTGCGTTGCGGTCGTACACGGGCTTAGGAAGGCGTCCTCCAGCTGCTTGACGCGTTGCTTCAGTCGATCTTCCCCGCTGTTACATTGAACCTTAATTGAAGCAAGAGCAGCAAATTTCTCGTCTCGGAAGATGTCAGCACTTTTCGAGGTGGTTTGTCAACGCTGTCGTCTCCGCAATCCCCTACTGTTTTGAACGATTTCGGTGACCATCATTTCTCTTGTCACTGCCACATCTTGCTCACACAGCGCGTACTCGTGTGGTTTCTTTCTTGTTTGAGCACTCGACGGCAGTTCTAACACGCGGGGTGATGTTAGATATGCGCCCTTAAAGTGATAGAGACGGCCCAGCTCATTTGATCTCTGCCTCACCAGCGCTCGTGTGCTTTTACCCGCTCGTAAAAGGTACAATGTGCTGGGGTTTTTGTCAATGTGGACTTGTTACCGAACACGGCGGCGACGGCAAAAACTCTCTGAGAGTGGCCATATAATTTCTAACGCAATAATAATGCAGTTTTTTACCGCCAAGTAAGTGTTTCATATTATATCTGCCTTCGTTTCCTCTTTTGTTCAACTTGTGCTTTTTTTTCGTACTGAATATAACGAAATCCTCTTTATAGCGAATTTTTCCTAGAATTTCTCAATTTTGTTATATCCAAGTTTAGCTGTATTCTGCCTGCATAGAGTGACCTGTTCTCTCTTATCTGCACCTTTCATCTCTCTCAAGAGATCAGGTAGATAACCTCATCCGCACAGCATATAAAACTGCTACCCGCCTTCCTAAAATACCGTTACGAGAAACCTTTTTAAGTGAACTTCCACTTGGAAAATACGAGTATCCTGATGTAATCGTCACCCCCCCCCCCCCCCCCCCCCCATACTGAAAATCTGAAAGGGTCATTTCTAAACGACCGTTGACTATATTGGTCCACGGAAACTTAGAATACTTTCTAATAGTATAATTCTAGTGCGAATCGAATAGCAAGCAGTATTCAAAATTGTGATTATTTGCACACTGCCAGTGAAAATATTGCCCCAAGTTATGGCATATGCGATTCTCCCTCTTTTTGCCCTTTAAAAGAGTCCTCCAACACTGGTGCTGCCTGCTTTCAGATCCGGTTGGACGAATCTCAGGACACAGAAGTGCGCCAGCTTAAGGAGCAGTTGCAGCAGGAGTTGGAGCTTCTCATGGCCTTCCAGTCCAAGATCCGCATGCAGGCTGAGGCCCAACGCAACCGGGAGCGCCACGAACTGCAGGAGCGTGTGTCCGTGCGCAGGGCCTTGCTGGAGCAGAAGGTGCGTTTAGGACAATGATAAGTTTATAAAAGTCTAACTAGGTATGTAGAAAAAGTTGGGGAAGTCTCATGCCTTGCATGAGGCCTGACTGTTCTGATGTAGTTGACCATCACCGGTAAAGGTCAGCTACAGTGAAACCCCGTTTATACGTACCTGCCGGAGACGACGGCGTAACTACGCACTAAACGTTGCACGCATTAACCACCAGCTACAAGTTTGCAGCTTCTGGCATGCGCCATCACCGCCAACAAAGAAAGAAACTCGGTGCCACTGGAAATATTGCCTGAAATGCCCACCGCAAAGCAATTTCTTTCTTTTAGCCAAAATGCAGAAAAGTTTCCGACTCTCGCATAACCGCCCGATAGCACACAGTGGTGACAACGATGAGCATTTCTAAACTGCCGCAAGATCCGGGGTATGCAGCATAGTACAGCGACAGAACGGACAGAATCGGCTGTCCGCGATACAGTTGTTTCGCGGTCTGCTTCTAAGCGAAAACTCGCGCAGTTTTCTTTTTGAAACGCGTTACAGTCGCAGAGAGCCAAACCTTTTACTGCGTGGCCAGTTGCGTGCAGCGCTTCGCTCACTCTGCGCACACCATGACTGCTGATCTTCTTGCTGTAGAGTACACCCTCTCCGCTTCAGGCCATGCGCAGATCGGCAAGTAGCCTGCTGAGTTAATGTGGCAACGAAGAGCTTTTCGCAAGCAATGTGCTCTCTGCAATGCTCTAGCAGTCCTGGCAGCGGATGGAGGCGCATTTTGGCTGTCGCTAAATAATAGCGTGCAGCGTGGTAACAACAGCGCTACGCTTGCTGTACGGTGCCCGTGTTGGCATAATACAGCAAGGTTCCTTGGTGCCCATGATCTGCAACGCCAGCTGGTGGCAAGGTGGAATGTTTAAGAGCGCTGGCAGGACTCGCAAGCAGCAACGTATAGGCGCACAGAACTGTAAAGGCCTGGCCAGAAGAGTCTACGCCAACAGGCGATCGTACGTGCGTGTGACCCCGAGATGTCCAGTGGTTGGAGCATCGTGAAGCTGTTCAAGAACAGAGGAACGGAGTGTCTCAGGAACTACGAGTAGTAGCTCTGGTCCCTTGGCGCTGTTGTTGCGTCGGTAAAGAATGCCATCGCATAGAACGAGCAAGTGTAGCGACGGGTCTACGTGGGGCAAACGTAGACTCTGCATGATAGACCGCAAGTGGACATCGCTGAGCTGTTCGTTGCGTATGTTGTTGAAAGCAGACATGGCGAAGACACAAGCGTCAGAATCATGTGCTGAAAGGTCGGGTGGGTCTACGAGGTGTTGGGATAGACAGTCGGCATCCTGGCGCATTAGGCCAGATTTATATGCCACGTCAAAGCTGTATTCTTGGAGTTTTAAGGCCCAACAGCCAAGTCGTCCAGTTGGATCTTTAAGGGACGACAGCCAGCACAAGGCATGGTGATCCGTAATTACCGAAAAGGTGTGGCCAAACAAGTATGGTCGAAACTTTCCGACTGCCCAGACTAGTGCGAGGCACTTGCACTCTGTGATGGAAAACTTGCCCTCCGAAGGAGACAGGAGGCGACTGGCATGAGCGATGACGCGATCCTGTCCTCGTTGCCGCTGGGCGAGAACAGCACCGATTCCATGTCCGCTGGCATCGGTACGAACTGCAGTATGGGCTGACCAGTCGAAATGGGCCAAGATGGGTGGGGAAGTAAGTAATGTTGTAAGGGTGCTGAAGGCAGTCGCTTGGTCAGTACCCCAATAAGAAGGCATGTCCTTCTTCAGCAGTTTCGTAAGTGGTTGGGCAATGTCAGCGAAACTCTTAACAAAACGTCGAAAGTAAGAACAAGGTTGATAAATCTGTGTACTTCTTTTGCGGAACGTGGTGCGGGAAAATCTTTGATAATTCTAATTTTTTCAGGATGAGGTTGCACGCCTCGAGCACTAACAAGGTCATCCAGCAAGCACAGTGATTTCCTGACGGCCAAATCGACATTTGGAAGAGTTGAGCTGAAGTCCTGCTGTCCGAAAACCTCAAGAACAGCCGAGAGAGAGAGAGAACATTTATTTACGCATCCGGCGTGCGGGAAGTCACCGGCCACGCAGGGCGCGGGTATTCCCTATCTGAAGACTATGGCTAATAGAGTCCTATAGTCCCAGGGCTTAGATCTTGAGGACGTTGTGCTCCGGCTAGGCTGCCTACATGGGTGTGCCTGCTTTTCATCTATCGGCTTACGATCAGGATACTGGCAGATTTCTGTCGATCATCGAGACCATGAGAAAACCGCATTCATTACACCTGATGGACTTTTCCAGTTCAAGGTTATGCCATTCGGATTGTGTAATGCCCCAGCTACATTTGAAAGGATGATGGACTCTCTCCTGCACGGATACAAATGGTCCACATGCCTGTGCTATCTCGATGATGTCGTCGTATTTTCACCTACATTTGAAAGTCATCTTAGCCGCCTATCGGCTGTTCTTAACCGAGTATCCAACGTCAATTGTTTATTGAAAATACAAATGTTTATTGAAAAAAAGTGGTCACGATAAAGAGTGCCACCGAATAGAATAGAAGGCATTGCTACAAAACCAGAGTCCGTTGTCTGTGCTACTATTGCTGAATATCATGTATAAAAGTTGATCATCTTCATGTCATGTATAGAAGTTTATCATCGTTCTGTATCCTGCTCTGTTTGATATTTTCCTGTAGTAAAGGATCACTATGCCAAGCATTCTTGAATCGCCTAAGTGCTAGCAAGAGGTTCTCATTACAGCAGGGCACTTCTCAATGAACATCATGCGATTTAAACAGTAGGGTAGCTATGAATCAGTCGACAAAGAATAGCTAAAAACATAGCATATGGCTTCTGAAATCTATAGAGCTAATGCAGGAAACTAGGCCTGCTACCCTAGTGCAATGCCTCGATGCCGTCTTACTTAAAATATTAACAGTGCTACTTCTGTGGAGGACAGGATGGAGAAAGTATGACAGGATTGGTGCTGGCCTGCTCAGCACTCCTCTGTCCTGTCTTACCACAAGTACAGCCGAACCCCCCTACAACGAAACTTATGGGGTACTGAAAATATTTCGTTGAAGCGAGAATTTCGTTGTAGTGAAATTGAAAAAATATAGCTGATCTGAGCTAGCAAATCAAAGGAACGTTTATTCTTAAAATGAAAAAAAAAAGTGTCCGCTGCTTCCTATTCTTTTCCAGCAGCGTCACGACGTGATTCACAGTCATGCATAGCGAGGCTATGGTGAAAACCACTCTGAACAACGCCTGCATCTGCTTTCGTAGACGTACTAAACAGTTGCATTGATAGATTAACACCAGCAGCTGTCCGCTGTCAAAGTGTACCCGACAATGCAGAGATGGAGGCAGGGTATCGTGGAGCGGGGACTTTCGCCTTATTCTATGGCATTCTTATCATCCATCACTCACGGCTAGCTGATTTGGTTGATAACGTGGATGAACAGCCGCTTTGATTGGGTACCGCACTGGCCAAGCACAAATAAAATTAAGCATTGGAATCGAAAAAGCATCCCTACGCGGTTGCAGCCACCAGCTGCGTGGAGGAAACCATGAACTGAGCGACTGAGCTTCAGCTGCCGATCGTCTGCAGCTCAAAAGCAAGCCAATATATAGGTGTTCTGTGAAGCCAGTGGCAAAAGCACGACAGTCTCATTGCTATCGCTATCGAGTAATGACGACACCCATGCTTGCTGAACAGCGGCAGTTTCTGGTGGTGCCAGCGTGTGTTTTAGACTTCGTCGACGTATTTTCAGGTTCTCAAAATGCATCAAAGTGTTAAAGACTGGGTTTCCTGTGTAACAATAAATATCTGAGCCTGGAATTACGTCGTGAAATTTTGTTAAAACGGGACGGCAGAAGAAAAAGTGTTCGTTGTGGCGACAATATTAATGCATTGACTCCTACGGCCTGCTGACGAAAAACTGTTAATTTTTCGTTGTAGCAGAAGTTTCGTTGAAGCGGCGTTTGTTGTAGCGGGGTTCGACTGTAGCGCTAGAATATTTTAAGGATGTATCGCCAACTAGCCATGCAACGTGTTTTGTTGAGTGTGCCTCGATGCCTGTCCCTTGCAGATGGAGCTAGAGAAGCAGCAGTTCCAAGAAGAGAAAGCTGAGCGGCAACGACTGCTATGCGAGCGGCAGTCGCGTGAGATAGAGGCCTTCGATGAGGAGAGCGCCCACATGGGCTTCAATCCGGTTGAGATAGCAGAGGCCTCGCGGGAGTCCCTAGGTTCGTCGGACGCAGACAGCCTGGCTGGCAGCACCCTCAGCCTAGCCCACAGCAACAGTGCCAGCTCCTTCACCCACACGGCCCTCTGAGGCAACACCCTTCCCTCTTCCGTTTCCTCCTCTCCTTGTCACACACTGCGATAGTCAGTCACGGTAGTCTGCCACGTACACGGGCCAGTGCGAATGCATATTGAATCTGGGTGATTGTCGAGCCATGCTGATGTGTATGGCACGGAGGTGGTGTGGTGTCGCATGCGCTAGCCCAGCTGTCACGGTTTGGATGTGCTAACTCCATGCTGCTGTGATGGGCGGGAGAATGGTTTCCGACGCCAGCATACTCGATCCTCGAAGGCTGTATCTTATTGTGCTCTTAGGGCTAGCTTGGAGGTGCGGTATCAACATGATCGGCAAATTGTGGTCGGTGGATAATTGTGGTAGTGTAGAGTAGAATGGAAGGAATCGTTACAGAATTGTTTCCCCTGCTTGCTCAATCATTCATTTATACCTAAAGAAGTTGTAATTGAGGTACTGCAGTAGGCTATTTGAGAGACTGTAGATTAGTTTAAAGGATGCAGCATGAGACGAAAGGCCTGCTCTTGAGGTTGTTTAAACCATAATGGCTGTATGTAATGTAAAAAAAAAAAAAACTCTCTCTTAGTGCCAAAATGCTGCTGCACTGGGCGCCGGAGAACAGTGACGAATGAAATGAAGTTGTAATTTTAGCCATTTGGCATTGCTTCTCATGGGAATATTCGTACTATCGGGCATGTTTGTCCATGCTGTGTAGTGCCGGGCACAGTCTTGTGTGTGTGTGTGTTTGTGTGTGTGTGTGTGTAGGCAACTGGGCACAGCCTCATTCAATGCATTTTGTCGAGCCAGTGGTGTCCGCTTGGGAGAAACTCTCCAGAGTTTGTTGCAGTGCTAGTATCGCTATGGTACATGATAGCGCGTCTTTCCTTCTCTCTCGTATTTTATTAGATGAAGTCGAGTGGTAGTCCTGCGTGACAGTGATAGTGGGAGAGGATGTTTAGATGTTCAAACTTGTGGCTGGTCAATCCAAATTTGAAGGCCCACATTGTAGGTGCTAGTAGGGTGTTCCAGGTCATACTAACACTTCTGCAGTGTCTCAATTACAGGTTGAGCCCGTATTGTACTGTTATGAGGACATTACAGAGAGCAATACCTTATTAATGTTATGTGATAATTGCTGCTATATGAGTGGATGCCGTAATTAGTTGAGGCAGTTTTTTTGTTGCGACTTCCTATTTGCTGCGCTAGAGGCCACGAAGTTGCTTCAGACAACATTCGTCTACTGTTCGTGGATGACTGTTGCGCTTTATAGTAATGTAATGTACGAAATCGTGATTATTATTTACATTTAAAAGTATATTCAATATTTTTGCCGCTGGTTCACATATTTTGAGCTATCGCCGAGATAGAATGGGTTCCAGGCATTACGTTTCTGCCTTCATTGTAGGACTGCAGCACTAATTTTCCTAAAGTATCCCTGACAAAGCTTGCATTCGTTTTCTTCAATGGTTGGTCAATGCTTGGCTGCGTTTATTCGGGCCAATGTAGTACTAGTGGTGCTTAGCTTTTTCACATTTAACATTAGCTGGTGTGTTTTTTTATTGCGGTGCCTAATGTGCAAGACAAGACGGCACTTTTTGCCATGTGACACATGTCCTTGGGGGGGGGGGGGGCTGTGTGGAAATGTTATTTGTGTTGTTTGGTTGGTGCTGCCGCTGGCAGTGATGCCCGATTTGAAATGAATCTTCGAGTTTCATTCAGGCCCCCGATAATTAGTTTACCGTGAAAGAATGAATTAATGCTATGTTTGTTATCTAAAGCACTCTCTGACCTCGGTGGGAAGAGACAAACGTGAGGCCAAGGAGAGAGGAGGGACTCTACGGAAATCGCTGGTCATTAAAAACGAAAAACGGGAAACAAAACTGCATAGACATGTTACGGACTTGTAGTTGCAGACTTGCGCATGCACGGAGTTGCAAATGCAGACTTTTATATTCAGTTCAGGGGTTTGCAAACGTGAAAATACGGGGAAAAGTGTGCCCGCAGTCTGTCAACCGAAATAGCGCACATGCATTTTAAGAGCTCGTTCACGCCTCCACACAGCGTTACATGAGTTACGTGCGTTCACACTCACACACAAACTGCGTGGTAAATTGTGCTTGTTTATTGGGCCTGACGAGGCGGAAATCGGAATTGGAAATGTTGCTAGCTGTTGGAATGTTGGCCCTGGCTGTTGAGTGGCAGACTGCCTGGACTGTTCCCTAGGTATGACTGTGTTGATGAGTGGTTGCCCCCTCCTTTTCAACAGAAACCCTTCTCGTTGTTGGATCTGGCACGCTGAGGCTGCCGTGGCATGGTTGGTGGAGTGTTGACCTGACCCTCGGTTGTTTTTTTTCCTTTCCCCAACACTTTTTTTGTTTCTCTCGGTCAGTGCAGCGCGTTCTGCGAGCAGAGCCCGCAGCCGCGCATCCAACTTGGGAGTACCATTGAAGGGTGGTCCGTGTGCATTTTCTCTTTTTTTTTTATAAGCGAGTGTGGCGGGGAGAGGGAAGTGCGAATACTATAGGTCGATTTTCTTCATGGTGCGTTCCTTCTGTTGTTTTATTTCCTCCAATTTTTTTTCCTCGAAACCCATTTCTTTGTTGTTTTCTAGGGGAATGCTATTTTAGGGTGCTAATCACTTTTTTTTTTTTCTTTTAATGCTGCACCCAGTACGTTCTGCATCCTTTACATAAATTTCCTGTTAGTGCAACATTTTTACCTCTCCTCTTTATTGTAATGTGCTGCTGTGAGCTGTCTTTAGACAAACAAAGACGGGTACCTGTACCCTTTTTAGCCCCCCTTTCCCCTTGCTCCATTCTCCTTCTCAATTTTTAGCAAAAACTTTCTGTGCGCTCTGCTTCTTATGCTCATTCAGAGGAGTCTTTAATTTGTGCAAGTGTTTTTCTGTTTTTTTTTTTCTTGTTGTTTTCATTTACCCACCATCCTTAAGTTCCCTGGTGCATAGCTGGCGGTAAAGTCCAGTACCATTCGAGTTTGTTGAAAATTAAGAGTGCTGCGTAAAATTCGGTGCAGCGGGTACTGCCGAAGTCGCGACCTTTTCCGGTGTACCGGTGCACCATTTTTGAGGCCGTCCCAATGCGATTGGCTTCTTCTGCTCAGTTCTAAAGATCAAATCGCAGTTTAAAGAATTAAAAAAAAAAGCAAATTGGGTGGTTACAACTATGTTTATGAATCATGACCACGTTCGTGAACCTTGTGAAGCCTAATTTTAGCGAGTAATAAGATGCACAAAGTGTACAGACATATGTACTAAATGTTAGCAATGTTGAATACGTCAACTCTGGTGATTGTCTGGAGTGGTTTTGGAAACTCAATCAAATCTCCCGCGGGCAGATTGGAGTTCTTATCTCTGTGAAGCTTGGTTCTTTGGTCATTTTGCATTCCCCGACAAGACAAGGATGTCTTAGCTTCTTTTAAACAAGTAGCCTGCTCCCACCAATGTCGCAGCCATGCCGAACATACCTCTGAGCATTTTTGGTGCAGTGCTGTTGCCAGTGCATCCCGGTTTCGATCAGCGGCGTGATCATGCTGCATTGATCCCCAGTGGAATACGCCCCCTGCAGTTGCGTTTTCTAGCTCTTTGTCATGTTTATCGATAAGAAACAGCTCAGTTATTGGTTGGCACAAAATGGACAGTGCAGCTCCATGCAACGCTGAGGCCCCTGAAAAATGGTGTGGCTGCCATTCAAATTCAATGCATAAGGACTTGTTAGTAACGCAGCTTCTTTTCGTATTTCTGCTCACATTTTGGCGGTGCTGGCTGTACAGAGTTCAAGTGCCATATGTTTTATTGCTGCTGTATCGAGATCAGCCTTTAGTAATACACCAAAGGGCAAACTAGTGTGATGTTCCTTCTGGTAGAAAAAGGGGAATGCAACGAGAGAAGATTTCATAATGCCCACATTAGAAGCCTGTGTCATGAGGGCACAATGTAGTGTTCTATTTGCTAATAAATATTACACAAAGGTACAAAGAAGAAAAATTGTTACAGCCAAGGCAAACAGAAATGCACGGAGCGGCTGGATTTCTACTTAATGTGACTTCCGATTGCACTACTATGTCTTTGGTGATACAGACAAAGTGAAGCCTCAGTCACAGTACTTTCATGCTAGTAATGCTACGAGATTGCAGTGTACCAGAGAAAAAAAAAATTGAGACGTGGTTCATTGGCTGCCGCACACCACACTGTCATTTGTAGCCATTGTAGTAGAAAGCCCTGCTGCGTTGTGGTCATGTTTCCAAGCGCTGAGGGGGGAAATGAAATTTTTGGAAAGTTAGTGCACTGTTCGTGTACAGCTCAAGATGTTCTTGCGCACTTCGTTGCTGTCGTTTTATATGAGCCAAGTAGATGGATGTCCTTCAAGACGAACAGTCTTCCGTTACAGTGACGATGAGCACTTGGAGTATTTTATAAGATGCCCATTCCTTTCTTTTTTGTGTGTGTGTCTTGTCTATCTCTCTGTCCCTTCAGTTTTTTTTTCTATTCCTTCCGCACATTAGAAGCACCAAACAAAGAAAAACTATCGGGGCATGCTACCTACATTTTTATGTTGGCCCCACAAGTTTTTTTTTCCTCCATTATTGCGTACTACTACAACTTGGCCCCTGCCCGACAGTTCTCCTTTTGATGTAAATAGTGCTGTATAAAAAAAATACATCAACTGGGTTGTATAGACAAGGTCACATGCACCTTTGCCAGTGAACGAGCGAATAAATGATTTCGGAAGAAAGCGTGGTGGTCTTTGTACGTTGTGGACTATATCTCGCAATGGCAAGGAATGCGCATTGCCGACTTGACGTAAATCTTGGGAAAGAAAAGGCCAGGAAAAGGAAAACTATTTTTATTGAATTTATTGTATTGGAACTGCAGTATTAAAATAACTTGTACTAGTGGCTGTGTTTGTTGGTGCATATTCAGGAAAGGGATAGGAATGTAAAAAATGAATCGAGGATGGAGAGAGAGAGAACTAATAAGTGCAGTGCTGTCGACAAACCTCTATCGAACATTTTCACTTGAAAACGCAGTGGTGCAGAGATCGGCTCCGCCCACCTGCGCACTGATGCTCCTGAGCTCTTGCTTTCCTTCTCTCTGCCTCGCACGAGCTGTGCTATGCCATCACTTTCTCTATACTTAACTGCTCCGCTCTCGCATACTCTCAGCTTGATGTTGCAGACAAGACTAATCTACCAAGGCTTCAAAGAAACGCTGAAGAGAAAAACTCAAGCCTGCAAAGGGACACCAAAGAAAAAGTTTTTTCTCGCACTAGTAACACCATGCTAGAAACAGGAATACGCTTGGTAAACGAGAAAATTTGCAAGAAGAAAGCTTGTGTGGAGATGCCACATGGCAAGTCCTGCACGAAACGGCGTAAGGTCTTGGGTTTTGAAGGTGTCCAGTGGGCACTAAATAGTTCCTGATCGGCAAAACGTCCTCTGAGCTGGCCACAAATTTACCATGCAGCTTTTGGAAATTTTGTTGAGCCAATGTCGCCAAAATGTGACAAGTACGCTTCGAAATCCATAATGTCGCGCTCAAAAATGGTAGCATGAAAACTTAAGAAACCTTAGTCTCCCTTTTATCCTCTATTAGTGAACTTGTAATGGTAAAGTTGACAGAGTACAGTTAACAAACTAAACTGATTTATTCTTTCACTGCAGCGTCCCTTTATAGGGGCCCAGCAGTGTGTTTCCAGCTTGTCGAAAAACGCTACTGATTGGTAGCCAAGGCTTATGTGCCCTGGAATCTACTCTGAAAGTCGCCCCTTTTGTCAAATTCGCCATTAACTAAAATTACCGTGCCACAAGCTCAAAGTCAACAGCCACTGGCCGATTTGAGCATCGTGTGCTGCATAGTTGCCATGACTGCCATGGGATGCCACCACGGGCTCATGCGTGATAATGCTGAAGGTAAGCTGCGCGTTCGAATAATAAAAAATGCTGTTTTTTCCTGGCTAAATAAATGTCTTGGATAAATAATGTTTTAAATAAATAAATAAATGTCAGAACTTGGAACCCCAACCAGCATGCTCCTGAGTACCCCTTTTCTACGCCTTCCCTCAAAATAATGTTTTGTTTTTCCCTCTCTCAAGGTAATGATGCATGCTTACTAATAAACCTAGTTGCTTGCCCTTTTGTCCCGATGTGCTCGCTTGTGTGAAAGGAGAGATCTGACCCTGCCTGCGTCGGCAATGCGAGGCAAGACAGGGGGAGGGGAGCGACAGTTTTGCGGGTGTCTTCCTGGGTCGGCACGAGATGCGAGCATGCGGAGTGGGGGTGTGAACGGCGCCGCAGCCGACGCCGAAGCGCGAC